TCAGTACTGTTTACTCACAATGTTGTGCTAACTTAGTTATTTTAAGTTCATTTTTTAAACTTTACTTTTAATTTTCCCCCCAGTTCTGTGGACAAATTAGATTTCCCTGTGTATGTATGCTCACCACCCAAGACTCTGTAGAGTCTTCAACAGCATCTTGAAGCACATGGCAAAGGCACACTTCATATAATTGAAGGGAATAAAATCTGCTGCCATCTTCATGATGAAGATGAAACAAAGACGTTTCAGGAAGATTATGACCCAAGAACAGCCAAAGAAAACTCTTAAATGGTTTCAGAGGAATAAAAAATAAAGCTGCGCGAATGGCCCAGCCAATCTCCTGACCTGAATCCAACTGAAAATCTATAAAAAGAACAAAAAAGAAAGTTTTTCCCCTCTCGCACCTGCAGGTGATTTGGGTCCTCTACCAGAGGCCTGGGAGCTTGAGGGTCCTGCAGTATCTTAGCTGTTCCTAGCACTGCGCTCTTCTGGACAGAGATCTCTGATGTTGATCCCGGGATCTGCTGGAGCCACTCGCCTAGCTTGGGAGTCACCGAGTGCTCCGATTAAGTTGAAAGTTGAAAGCCTTTGTCATTATACATAGTATAACGAAATTAGAAACGGCTCTATAAAAGTGCACACGTGCTTATAGCACATTATAAAAACTATACAATAATTTAACTATACACTTACTATAAATATAAATACACAGTACAGTACTGACAGAGACAGACCGGCAGAGAGTTGATGATATTTCAGTGCAGATTGCTTTTTGTACAAGTTTGAGGTGAGTACGGTGATGGCTTTGGGGAAGAAGCTGTCCCTGAGTCTGTTTGTTCTGGCCCTTATAGCGCCTGCCAGAGGGCAGTAGGTTGAAAAGATGGCAGCCGGGGTGGGTAGTGTCCTTTAAAATCTTTCTGGACCTACTAAGACAACGGGAGTTGTAGACAGCAGATAAATGGTAAATGGCCTGTATTTGTATAGCGCTTTACTTGGTCCTAAGGACCCCAAAG